TGGTAGATACATGTCATTATACATTTGTCCAAACTCATATAATATACAATAACAAAAGTGAATTCTAATGTAAACTATGAACTTTGGGTGATAATAATGAGTATTAGTTCATTACTTGTAACAAATACTAGTATACTGCTCCAGTATGGACTGCTGAAGGTGGGGGAGAATGTGTGAAAGGGAGGGGGGGAGACATAGGGTATCACTCTAGACTTTTCACTCAATTTTGCTATGAACCTAAAACTGCTCTTTACTTTCTAAGCTTGTGCCTTTCATGTCATTTGCAAATATAATAGTTCTGTAGAGCTCCCAGAATCTTGCTTCCCAGTTCTTTCCATATCTTCCAGCCTGGACTCCCTTCACAGTTCCAACAAACTGGTGGGAGACTGAGAATGATTCTGGAGCAACACCCTTGATATTCAGGGGCTGCTCCTGGGTTCTACAGTTTTGCCCCAACTCCCTGGAACCATGCTAAAGGAATAACCCACTGCTTGCTTGGAAGGGCTGCTTTGGTCTCTCAACTCCCTCCCCACCAACAACCATTTCCCTATCTCCACTGCCAACGCAGGAAAACACGCCTCTGGTCATGGACAGATGGGTCACTTACAATAGTGGAGACAGTGCCCCTTGGTGGCAGCTGGAAATATGCCTTTTAGCATCCCTCACTGTTGTCCTGTAGACATCTGAGCCCAGAAAGGAAGAGTCAAGAGCAAGCCAACTTCTCCCCTTTCAATAATCCTCCAAACGTGCAGTGTCACAGAACTAGTGGAGAGCTGGCATTGACACCAAAAACAGGGTGTGACGAGTGCTGGGCTGGTGAGAACCGGAAGGGCCAACAACACAAGCTTTCCCAGCAGCGATAATCAGAACCCAATAGAGCTGGGGCGGAGGAGTTGGCATAACGCAAGGTAAAAGGGAAATGGAACTTCTCAGGATTTACTCTGGTTTGCCTGAGACAGCACGAGCCCTCCAAACCAAGAGCTGGGGTGTACCCTTCCTAGCAGAACAGCAGCTTCACCTGAATTTGCCATAGGACCAGATTGGTTTGGAGCCAATTGTGAGAAGATCAGAGGCCTGAGACCTGATTCTCACCCAGGCCATCTCCGTTGGTTAGGCAGATGACTGGCACAGATGTGGAGCTGACCTGACTCCCATTCCCTGCCTAAAAACTCTTTTAAAGGGAACACAACGCCTCACTCCTAGAGAAAGCAGTGTCTTTCCAACAGCCCTTGCCCTGTAGTCCATGAAACCACAAGAAAGCCCATGCAGAGAATGTAGGGTACCAGTTCCAAAAAAGGAATCAGTTTGGGGCTCAGATTAGGGAGAGAGACACTCTGAGAAGAACAAACCTATCTTGGTGTGGATGCGGAGGGAGAGGAAACACAATACAGAGCCACATCCTCTGCCCCTGCTTCTGGCTGCCTCACTCCCCATCTCAAAGTCTGACTTTGAGTTTTGTAGGCTGTGTGGTCACAGAAGCCTCGGAGGACTTGCAGAACACCGTCAGCATGATGTCAGGATCCACTTCAGCAGGAGGGGTGGACGGGGCAGCAGGGTTCACCCTGGGAGGCAGCACACTCTCCTTTATCACTGAGTGGCTGTCCCACAACCATAGCAGGATGGGCTGCACTGAGGTGATAAGGTTCCCATTCGTGTGAAGGTTGCACTTACTGGTTTCCCGTCCAGACACCGGTTGTTATATTTCTTTCCCTTTTGTTTTGTTTTATTTTGTTCTGTTTAGGTAATCCTCCCCCAAGGATATTTTCCCATTGATTTTTAGAGAGAGTGGAAGGGAGAAACATCGATATGAGAGAGGCACATTAATTGGCTGCCTCCAGCATGCACCCCAACCAGGGCCAAGGATCGAGCCTGCAACCAAGGTATGTGCCCTTGACCGAGAATTGAACCCACCCTTCAGTCCATAGCTGACGCTCTATCCACTGAACCAAACCAACTAGGGCTGTTATATTTCTTATATGCAGTGATGGCATCATCCTTCTTCTTTTTATTTTATTTTTTATTGATTAAGGTTTTACATATGTGTCCTTATCCCTCCCTTACGCTCCCACCCCCACTCATGCCCTCACCCCCCTGTTGTCTGTGTCCATTGATTAAGCATATATAAATGCATACAAGTCCTTTGATTGAGCTCTCCCCCTTACCCCCAATGTCCCCTACCTTCCCTCTGAGGTTTGGAAGTCTGATCAATGTTTCTCTGTGTCTGGATCTGTTTTTGTTCATCAGTTTATGTTGTTCATTATATTCCACAAATGAGTGAGATCATGTGATATTTATCTTTCTCTGCCTGGCTTATTTCGCTTAGCATAATACTCTCCAGTTCCATCATCCTTCTTAACAAAGACCATTTCTGCTGCCCCAGGATGGACCAGCCGAGCCGCTTCAGGGCTCCACATACACAGAATTCTCAGCAGTATCTTCCTCGATGACTCTAAGGTGCAGATTAGTCACAGTCATCTTGGTGCCTTCCAATGTGCTAACAACGGGCTCAGCAAGCAGCAGCTCTTTAGAGGAATCCTTCTTGTTCAGTAGTGTCCAGACATGCTGGTCAAGGCTTTTGTTCCAAGATAGGAGAGGAGAACAGGAGCTGTGTATGCATCATTCTGAACCACTTTGGTGAGAGAGAGAGCATTGGACACGGAAAACTTGGAAATGCTCAACTCGGGCATGTGGTGGAGTAAGCTGCCTGAGGCTGGGCATTTCATCTGTTTACTAAGAATGGGAGCTGCAACGTCATCATCTTCATCCAGGCTGTTTGACCTAGTGATTATTGACAACGTTACCCCTCATTCCAGCAGGATGGGCACGTGGTGGTTCTGAAATTTAACTAGTTAACAGAATTTCTGGAAGGATCATTTCTTTTCTGTAGCTATCAACCAGACTCAGTTTCTAGTGCCTCCAACACAACAGCCTTGATAGAAAGTCATTTATAATATCAACTATAGTTTGAGCAATTATTTATAAGCACCAACCAAACTAGTGACTTTCAAATGAAAACAAATATGTAATCATATGCCTACCCAGTGAGATCTCCCCTTAGTTAGCCTGTGAGCCATCCTATATTCTAACTTCTTAATGAACTACACAATCTGAGAGATTATTACAATTTATTCCCTCTCATTCCCCCATTACTTTATTGCCAGTTTATAGGAGAGTAATCTGATTGGGCTAATACAATTATAATTTGAAGAACAGATGACACAGTGTTTTGGAATTAATTTGTAACCCAAGAGGACAGTACATTGATGACAGGATAAAAGTGAGTAGAGCAGTAGTCCTGGTTCTAAATTGGGTTACAAATCTTCTCTAAGTACATTTCTAGGAGGCGAGCCCAAGGCATGAAGCACCAGGTCACGTTGCAAATCTCTATATCCTTATGGCCTAAGTGTGGTATACATACCAGTATAACATAGGACAAAAGATAGCCTCTTCTCTACTGCCCAACAAAGCCACTGAGGCCTGGAGCATACCATAAATATTTCAGAGGGGATAGAGCTACTGAATGTATTTAAATAAAACTGAAACTGGACTTACTAGCAATCTTTTTAAAAGATTGGATTAACAGTGCATGAGGGATATAGGAATTGTAAAAACCGTAAGAATGGTACACAAATGACTGAGTTTGGGAAACACCACTCCATAGCATCTAAAATGTTGCCCCTCCAGGGCAGTAACTTATCAGAAGGGTATTAGCAAAGCTACATTGGAAGATCATGAAAGATGGCCCCTGACCACATTATAGAATCATCACTTCCATGAATAGTCGATCGGTCCCTGAGACCTTTGGAAATCCTTATCAAAGAGTCTTTTACATGTTATACTCTTATTGTTTACTATGTGTCAGGCATAGGGAGTAATCCATCTAGAAATGTTGATAACAGTCCTTTGGTTGCCAACACTCACAGTGCCTTCCACCCATTCAGACTCTCTCTTAAGCAACAGCTGATCGGGATTTTTTGAATTAGGGTGTCACTAAAGAAGTTAACTATGAGAGAATGGCTGAAAATTTATGCTCATGGAAGGGCTGACATGTCTGTTTTATGGCAGGTACAAGCTGAGAAAAAGAAGGTGATCCCAAGGTGTAGAGAGAAATATATACAACTGACAGACTCAGGTGACCAAAGGAGAAGTCAAATGGCCTCTGACAGACAAGATAGAATGTCAGTTCCTGATATCTTCCCAGATCATTTGAAATTTGATTGGACTTCATTTTTTCCCCTTGCACTCAACAGGACAGGTGCATTTATAGAATGTCTACCCATTCACACCCCTGACACATGTACTTTTTATTTTTCTCAAGACACATTGAATGGGTTTTGGTTCCTTGCAACCCAGAGTCCAGACTAGAAAATAAATCAAAAGATAATAAATACAATAGAGACATGGAGTAAATATAAGTCATCAAGGAATAAATAAAGGAACCAGAAGGCCATTTGATCATTGACTTGCTATAAAGCTATTCAGAGGAGATAAAGGTCTTTGAAAATGAGCCCTCAGTTTCTTTTTCTTGACTTCTCATATTCTCCAGCAATTCAGAAATTTGTATCAAACTAAGGTGTTTTCATATGAGGGTTTTTCTTTCAACCTGTGAATAAAGGTCATTAGTAGGGATTCCAGAAGATAAATTTTTATATCCTTTTTCAAAAGTTCACCTTTTGTTCATCTTCCTCCTATTTCTTCTCCACTCCCACCCCAGACACACACACACACACACACACACACACACACACACACACTCCACCAAAAGTTAACAGTTGCCATACATCCAAATATTTGACTTAGTGAAAAACAAACTACTACATATATGAATTTGTAGAAAGCAATTCTTTGCTTAATCTTCTCTTAGCTACATGCTTTTGCGTTTCAATTCTAATAAATAAAGTGATATTTTGATGCAGTCTTTTACCATTTGCAACAGCATGGATGGAACTGGAGAACATTATGCTAAGCGAAATAAGCCAGTAGTAGAAAGATAAATATCACATGATGTCACTCATATGTGGGATATAATGATCAACATAATTTGATGAACAAGAATAGATCAATCTAGAGACAAATGGTAGGGGAAGAGGCATTAGAGAGCAACCGAAGGACTTGGATACATGCATATTAGCATAACCAATGGAACACAGACACTGGGGCGGTGGAGGCTTGCCTGGGGTGGGAGTGGCTGGGGGGTGTCATTTGGGGGAAAAGGAGACATATTAAAACTTTAGACAATAAAAATAAATATAAATATAAATAAAAAATTAAAAAATAAAAGGGCATACCTACTCATGCCTGTGTAATAGTCATGATGCTCACCCTCACTCTCCTTTCTAAGTAAAGGCAATTCAAGTGCTAAGCCTCCTGTTCTTGGCATTAATTACTTTTGTTAACTGTTGTCTTTACACCCATCTTCTAATAAGAATAATTAATAATCATAGGATTGATTGGCCTTTCTATGAACCTCCTGGAAGATGCCTGCCAGTTTCTTCCATTCCATCTGGACAAAAAAGAATAGCAATAACAGTTTACAAAGCATATTCACATTTACTGTAGGGGGGTCTCGACTTCAGAATAAGTATACACGAAGCTTTCTTTCTTTAGGAGAATACAAACAGCAAGGTATATAAGCAATTCCAAGATGTGGTGCTGAGAAGTAGTTTGGAAACCATGGCTTAGCATTTTTCAGCTAACTAACTAAATCCTGTGGGTTTATCTACCTACATTCACTCAAGAAATACATCTCTACTATTTATAGTGATGTACATGCACATATGCCTGTGCATTGAATATTTTTCATGAAATGACATCCAACTTCACAATCCAAGACTGGTTGGAAGCCAGATAGGATGGTATGTGTAAGAAGGAAGTTACCAAAAAAAGTTCAAATGGTTATGGTGAAGAGAATGACATTGTCCAAGATTTATAGGTCAAAAAATTAATCTGTTTATTTCTAAAAGTGATAGTTGGCACAGGAATAGAGAAGGGAGAGAGTTGGCTGTTTGGTTTGTATTTTCTGGGTGATTTCTTTTAAGTGTCACTCCCGGCAGAAAACATATTCAGTGTAAGAGGTCCAGATCTTGTCATCTGTCTGATCATGGGTGATAGTGCAGGTGCCAGTGGAATTGCATGCTACCATGTGAAAGCCAGCATCAGCTAGTTTGTCAAAGGCTTGTTCCAGAAAGTTAAATTTGAGGTAATATCGAGAAGTGTATCGCTCAGGAGGACGGTCAGGGTCTCTGCTCTCATTTAGAGTATCTCCAAATACTTCTTTGGCCAATGAGATCTTACCACACACCATGATTCGGGCCACGCGGCGGAATTTGGCATCTGTTTGGCTATCCCGACCCAGAGTATAGGAGCCTCGATAGCCAATAGTGATGAAACCTGCCTTCTTGAGGTCAGAATGAGTATTTGCTGTCAGAGCTGGCGGGTTACCAGGACCACTAACTTGGATGTTATTATTTGAAGAGAGGTTACATGCGATGTCAATGTTGGTGGAAAGCTCTTCTAGATCACTTTGGCATAAATCATTGCCAACTGAGTTGACCATGTTGATTTTAGGAGCCAACATCTTCACTAACTCCGGTAGCTTGAAGTACTCTGCTTCTCTCTGGAGCCGACCACACTCTGGAAAGTGGTCAGGAAGCACCAGTTTCCGGTCTCTCATGTAGTCTAGCACATAGCGAAAGAGGAAACCATCCCGGTCTACAAAAAACCTCCCTTTGTTGTCCTGGATTAGGGAGCAAGGATTCTTTTCACTGAACATTTCCCAGAGCAGGGATCCAGGAACACTGACCAAAGTGGGATAGCGAGTGATGTACACCTGACCACCCACATTGAGTTCAACAATCTCAGGAAAATGACTGAAATCCTTGCTTGATTTGGTACAACTTGATTTCTCTGGCATGGCCATATTGATCTGCAGAAGCAAAAGACATCAGTTCTAAGTAAAAGTTTACAGTATAGGGATTCTGTTTACAAACATTATTTTTCTGCACTCATGTACACTATATACCAAGAAAGTCAAGCAAACCATAATCTTTTGCAAATTAACTATTTTTAACTTCAGAATGGCAGAAAAGAAAAATTGCACATAATTTAGCCCTGCAATTATATTTTTAATGTCCTTCTGAATGTTGAGTGCATCAAATGATCACAATCCTCAATTCATGGCATGTTATCACAGTCCATGCAGGGACTTCCTTGTGGTGTTTGTTTATTTGTTTTGGTTATTCTGTTTTACTCTCAGTCCATTCCCATTCCTGTCCCTGATTCTACCATAGGCTGCCATTTTGAGGTTTAGTGTATATCCTTCTATGCATATATATTCTTGATGTTATTGCATCATACATTTCAGTCTTCATTTATACATATTTATACATTTTTCACTCTCAGCACTATATTGCTCAAATTCCTTCATGTTGCTATATGTATACCTAATCTCCTGCTTCTAACTGTGACATGACACTCCATGGTATGCACCACTATGTTTTACTATCTACTCTCTCAGTAACAGACACCCAGATTGGCTCTAACTCCTTGCTCCAATTTATACTCCTGTGCGTGTTTCCTATGAACCTGTGAGAGAACACATTTAGACCATATAGCCAGCAGTAGTATTTATGAGTCACACTGTATGCATATACCTAATTTGACTACTCAGTGACATATTGCTCTCTAAAATGTGCCTTGTCTTCATCCCAACTTAATCCGCACATTCCCACCATGACTTGGCATTATCTAGATATCTAAATTTTGCCACTCTACTGGGTTTATAGTGATACCTTATTGCAGTATGAGAAAATTAATTATAAAATAAAGAATATAGGCAACTATTGTAAGATCATAACTTAGTATCTTCTCAAATGTCTACTCATTCCTCACCTTTTTATATCCCAACTTCTGCCCCTACCATTTTACTAGAACCACTGTTTCCAATAAAAAAAACATGGTGTGCTCATCACCTTTCTTTGTTCCCCATTCTCCTTTATTGATTTACTAGAGGCCCCAGTGCATGAAATTCGTGCATGGGTGCGGTCCCTAGGCTTGGCCGGTGATTAAAGCATGAGCGTCTGGTGTGGAAGGGCAGGTCCAAGCTGATCTCTGGGCCCTGGGCAGCCCAACATAAACCCCCCTTCTGCTTGAATCACAGTGCCTGAGTCCCCACATGGAGATGTGGTGAGCATGGCCAGGCACTGTGGGCTGAGTGCGGGGGGGGGGGGGGGGGGGGGGGTTCCTTGGCGCATGAGCCCTGGTGTCCCAGGGGAGGGTAACAGGGGGAGTAAGAGCGAGTTCAGCAGACACCCTGCATTCTCACCGCACCTCCATCCCCATCACCCCCCGCCCCCAGGTAGCCAATGAGAGGTCACAGCACATTGCCAACACCTGCCATGTTTCATACCGCCCCCTTGTGGTCAGCACACGTCATAGTGAGCAGCTGGACTCACGGTCTCTGGGTCAAACTCCTGGTCAAACCACCACCCAAGGGGACAATTTGCATATTAGGCTTTTATTACATTGGATTACCCTATGTAATAAAAGCCTAATATGCAAATAGATCAAACAGTGGGATAACCAAACAACCAGTTACTATGATTGTGCTGACCACCCAGGGGTGTGTACAGAACATGGCTGGTGCTAGCAGCAGGTGGCAGAGTGCAGAACATGGTGGGTGTTGGCCGCAGTGGGATGGTGGAGCAGGTGAGGAGGGGCACCAGACCAAGATGGGGTTCTGGTTGCTATCATCAGGGTGAGCCTCTTGTGGTTACTGAAAATTATTTGCTCCCACATGCTGCGGTCCTGCCCAGCATTCACACCTGCTGCCAGCACTAGAGTCACTGTTCACACCCATTGCTGGCACCCAGTGCCGGCCTCAATTGCTCAGCACCGTCAGTGGGTGCAAGCAGCAGATACTGGCCCTGATCGCCCCTCAGGGCTTCTCCACCTCCCCCTGCTCCTGCCTGGTGATTAGGGGAGCAGTCACCGCTCACACCCACTGACAGCACCAGCCCCAATTGCTCCGTGCTGTCAGTCAGACATTCCCCAAGAGTTCCTGGACTGCAAGAGAGCCCAGGCTGGGCTGAGGGACCGCCCTACCCCCTCCCCTCCCGAGTGCATGAATTTTGTGCACCAGGCCTCTAGTTGTCCATATTAGACTTTCCTGAGCATCTTCTTACCTCCCAGTCGATTCCAATTGCATCTTTGCCACTGGCTTATCTTGCTTCTCAAACTATCCTAAACTGTGACTATGCAAGCCTCAAAACTGTGTGTGTGTGTGTCTGGGGGGGGGGGGTGGTTCTATCTAATCTCTCACTCAGAGAAATCATCCTCTTAAGCTTTTCCAACTATTATATTTACATATATGATTACAGAATCCTAGCCTCTCACATAAGCTTCAGTTCACTATTAGCAACCACTTGCTGAGTGCACCAGCAGCTCCTTTTTCCAAACCACACTCATGTGCTAGTATGTGAAAGTGTTTTGTAAAATCTAAGTTATTTTAATAATCTTTGTTTTATTTTTCCAGCCAAAACAGGCCATATTTTATGATTTCTTTTGCCGTGGCAATAATATCACACTTTTCCCAGTCTTCAACCTGGAGATTTAGAAACTTTAGAGTCACCTTAATGACCTCATGTGTATCCCTCACTAACATAGGAATTATTGCTTTCTGATGTCTCTTGCATATACATACTAGAACTACCACTGCCACTTCTGTTCTTCACTCTGCACTAATTGATCTGAACCTCTAAATTCATCTGTCCATCTCTAGCTGAGATCCATCCACATCTGCCCTAAACCCTGCCTCAACTTCCAAAAAATATCCTACATTCTATTACCAGATCAGTTATTATTATATCACCTTTGTCCCTGTTTAAAATTGTCAGTGGCTCCACTTTGCCTAAAGATCAAATCTAAAACCCTTATCCTAGAATTCAAAGCTATCTATAAATGAGTTATTTTCTATGGTTAATGATAAGAATACCTAGACTGCATAGGACTTACTATGTGCCAGGCATTGTTCTTAGCCAATAAAGTGGGTACAAATATTATCCTTATTTTGCCAATGAAGAAAATGGTAAATAACTTGCCCAACATTAAACTATTGATAATAAGTTTCTCAGGTGGCATACAAACTCAAGCAGTAGGACTCCGGTGTCCATGTTCTTAATTGAGTGTATCTGTCAAGACCTCTTTACATCTACAAAAATGGTGTGGGTATCATTGCCTGTCTATAATATGTTGCCTTTGCCCATGCCTTTCCCCTTCTAGTCCTTGGTATCAAGTACCAATTCAAGTCTCAATTAAGATTAAGCTCCTCCTCATATGTCTTTATTATATTTGAAATTTTCATTTCACTTTTTACTCTTTGGTGTCCTACTCTTTTACATAATATAATCACAGTAGTATTAGTAACATAGTAACAATAGCTAACATTTATGAAGCACTTAACTATATGCCAGTCATTTTGTATCTTTTTTTCAAAAAATATATTTTTATTGTTTTCAGAGAGGAAGGGTGAGGGATAGAAAGATAGAAACATCAGTGATGAGAGAGAATCATTGATCGGCTGCCTCTTGCATGCCCCACACTGAGAGTGAGTGTGAGCCCACAACCTAGGCATGTGCCTGACCGGGATTCAAACCATGACTTCCTGGATCATAGGTTGATATTCAACCACTGAACCATGTTGGCCTGGCTTGGATCTCTTTTAATGTGATGACTTAGTTAATATTTCTAATAATCGAATGAAGTAACTATTGCAATTTTCATTTCTTAAAGGAATAAGCAGATGCAGTTCATTATACCAGTAATTCCTCATACAAACTAGTGTTTTTAGTCTCCACTTACTAATTCACCCTTCCATGATAACTAGAATTATCTTTCTCAAATGTAAAACTGATTATGGCTTTCCTTGCATAAACATTGTCAAAGGCTTCTCAAAGTCTAGAGAATGAAGTTCAAATATATTTAATACAGCATATGAGAAGTTACACACATGTCTTTGCCTTATTTCTGGGCTTTGATTCCAACTATCTTTCCCTTTGATACCCCCAAAATTACTCCAAACGCAGTTCATCAGACTCACCCACTTTTTTATATCTATATTGCTTTAACTTATGATTCCTTTTGCCAAAAATGTCCTCTTTTACTCTACCTACCCCAACCTTCTTGTCCCTTCTTGAGAAATAATATAACATAGTGGCTTTGGGAATGTCTGAGTTTTAATCCCACCTCTGCCATTTACAAGCCTGGTAACTTTGGACAAATTACTTATTCTCTATGAGCCTCAATTTTCTTACAGATAAAGTGGATATAACAAGATTCATAAGATGAGGAGGAAATTATATAAAGTATAATGTATTTGAGGTTATCTTGGGTCAAGCAATGAAAGATTCATCAGTTGGTTGTGGTACTAAAAGTCTTATAATGAGCAGAAACCGGTTTGGCTCAGTGGATAGAGCGTCAGCCTGTGGACTGAAAGGTCTCGGGTTCGATTCCAGTCAAGGGCTTGTACCTTGGTTGCGGGCATATCCCCAGTAGGGGGTGTGTAAGAGGCAACTGATCAATGTTTCTCTCTCATTGATGTTTCTAACTCTCTATCCCTCTCTCTTCCTCTCTGCAAAAAATCAATAAAAATATTTTTTTTAAATAAAAGTCTTATAATGATCCATTAAGATTCTGCTAAAATAGCCAACACTGGTTTGGCTCAGTGGATAGAACATCAGCCTGCGGACTGAAGGGTCCCGGGTTCGATTCAGGTCAAGGGCATGTACCTTGGTTGTGGGCACATCCCCGGTTGGGGGTGTGCAGGAGGCAGCTGATCAATGTTTCTCTCTCACCAATGTTTCTGACTCTCTATCCATCTCCCTTCCTCTATATAAAAAAATCAATAAAATATATTTAAAAAAAGATTTTGCTAAAATAAAACATCCTCTTGAACTGCCCATCCCATCCCTTTCTATCCTTTATTATTGCTTCAGATTGGAAATATCTCTTAGAGAATTTATTATACAGTACACAATAATTATTTATATGCTTGTCCATCCCAAAAAAAAACTTCCAAGTAACATAATATCTTTACTTAGAAATTTCTGGATTCCCAGCACTGTGAGCCTAATAAACAGTGAGCTTATAGTAAGCAATTATTGAATGACTAGAGTAGGGGTGTCGAACTCAATCAGAGAAGGGGCCAAAATCTAAAATCCAGCCTAAATCGTGGGCTGAATGGTTTACTGAACAGTCATAAACTGTCATTGTGATGGAAACGCAGCGGAGTGCAGTGATGACAGTGCGGTGCGGGCCACATTGCAAGGCCTGGCGGGACGGATTTGGCCCGCGGGCCTTGTGTTTGACACATGTGGACTAGAGGCTTAGTGCATGAAATCCATGCATGGGTAGGATCCCTAGCAACTGCTGGCTGGCTGCCTGCCAGGGCCTCAATTCCCCAGCTGCCTGCTGCTGGCCAGGCCTTCATTCATTCCACGCGGCCCCCTGGTGGACAATGCATGTCATAGTAAGCTATTGAACTCCCAGTCCATTGAACTCCTGAGGGGACACTTTGCATATTAGGCTTTTATACAGAGAGATGAGTAAACAACCAACAAACAAATGTGATATCAATTTCATTACTTTCATAATTCCACAGTATGAATCCATTTACAGAAATTCATTTTGATTTTTTTTAATAATATATTTTATTGATTTTTTACAGAGAGAAGGAAAGAGGGATAGAGAGCTAGAAATGTCGATGAGGGAGAAACATCGACCAGCTGCCTCTTGCACACCCCCTACCGGGGATTTGCCTGCAACCAATGTACATGCCCTTGACCGGAATCGAACCAGGGACCTTTCAGTCCGCAGACTGACGCTCTACCACTGAGCCAAACCGGTTTCGGCCAGAAATTCATTTTGAATAGATGTGTGAGTACATAAATCAGAAATATATATATATATACACTAAACCTTGAAAATTTCTGAATGCAAAAAAACTATTATATATTCCCTTTAAAAACAGTAATAAAAGTCAAAGATAGTTGTTTCTCACTGTAGAAAAATATCATTTTATAACACAATTAAGCAGATGAAAAATAGTAGTATAAAGTTGATACCTTTTTATTTCAGATTATTCTTTCTTGATGCTTTGGAGTTACTTTCGCCACTCAAGTCAACTGATGGTTTAAAATCCTATGAGTCAGAGTCACGTTCAGCTTGAGGAGTCAAGGTGGGTAGTCTATGTTAGAAGAGGATTTTTAGCTAAGTCCTAAGGACAGAATCTTCATTTCTGTAGAAAGAAGTCAAAAGGGAAAAATTTAAGACTAGAACTGCAGTAGATCCTTAACTGCCACACCCCTGTGGCACAACCACAACCATATTTTAAACCATAAATAGAAATTTTACTCTGGCCTAGCTGGCGTGGCTCAGTGGTTAAGCGTTGACCTATGAACCAGGAGGTCAAGGTTTGAATTCTCGATCAGGGAACATGCCCAGGTTGCAGGTTTGGTCCCCAATGTGGGGGCATGCAGGAGGCAGCAGATCAGTGATTCTCTTTCATCATTGATATTTCTATCTCTTTTCCACTCCATTCCTTTCTGAAATCAATAAAAATATATTTTAAGATAGAAATTTTACTCTGAAAGACATTCATAAGACTATTTTTAAAAGTTAGGAATTTCAAGTCCTTTTAAAGAAGAAAATGGGAGCAGTTGTCCCAATAATAAAAAATATCCAACTCAAAACAGCCTCTGGTGTATTATCATAGCATGAAGTCAGAAAGGACATTTCCCAAACAGAAATTAATATTTCTCGTCTGTTTTGCATGTATTTTTAATGTAAAAATATATTTTGCATATAAAGTTCTTTAAATATTTTCCCTTCCTTCCCCCATCCCAGTATTTCCTGTTCTGCTAGCTTACTGAAGAGGAAGCCAAATAATTGTTCATTCAATCTAACCTTTCCTCAAGTCTTTTCAATGTTTGTTTGGGATATAGCCCTGTAATGTCTCATTTTTTTTTTCCCTCCTGCACATAAACCTCAGGCTGATAATGGCTTGTGGTTAGCTGCTCTCATCAAATCAAAGAAGTAAAAATCTCTGCAAGAAGGAATTAAAAAGAGAAGATGTGAAAGGTAAACAGTTTAAATCAGAGGATGAAATGTTCAGCTCAGCTATATGCTACAAGCCAGGAAAAGCTGAACTTGACATTTAAATGTTTTAAAGACACTGAAGAAAGTAGCTAGTGCATTGCTTGCTTTTTGTACTCAAAGAATCCTGCAACCAACATGCAGTGTTTTTAAAAGAAAAACGAAGTCAGATAGATCAAAATCCCTGATTTCTACCTGAAAATGACAAGGAAGCATTTTCTAAGGAAATGAGTTTATAAATGACCTATTTTCAATTTTATTAACCCCTATAACTCTGTGTCCTAATATCTCCTCTTTTCTCTCTTTCCCTCTTTCTCCTCTTTTGACCAGTGTGTATTTAAAACACACTCACTTATAAAAATGAACCCATCAATGTTCATTTGAAATGTGATCCCCACCTTTTATGTTGTTCCAGTTCAAATTGATTACAGAAAACAAAGTAGTGACAGCTGAAGTAGAAGTGTAAGCAAAAGGAAACAACAACTCTAATAAGAATTAAGAAAGTGTCCTTTCCTACTTGAAGGAGAAAACTCTCAGCAGCATTCCTAGCCCTACAAGTAGCTTTGGTGGATGGTTTTTTGTCTGTTCATAAAATGAAATGCTAGTACTGAGATGGTTTAACAACTCAAAATAAAGACAAACAACCAAATGATAAAACAAAATGTGAATTTTCAGAATTCCCTTTCAGGGAAGAAACTTGCCTGCTTTTGGATCTCTAGGCAGGTTTCACATCAGTCCTGTCTCAGCACACAGAAAGAACATACAGTCATGCTCATCCCCAGCTCAAATGCAGAAGCTCCAGAATTCCAGAAGCTGTGGGCCAAGAAGGAAAGGTAAAGGGATTAGTGGAGTAGTTACCTTGAATCTCCAGCCACTGGAATGTTGCCAAGCACAGCCTCAGTCCCTCTCTGCAAGCCTGGCTCAATTTGTGAACTGTCTTCCTGCTCTCCTCCCTCTCCTTGGCTGTGTGCTTAGAGCTCAGTCTGAGTTTCCCCTTTTAACACTAGGGAGTTTGGAGAACCTCCCATCCTGCTATGACATACTTGGCTCCCTCCCCAGACAGCCTCCCAGATGGAAAAGGCAGTTTGAGGAGGAAGCAAAGTTCAGAAAGGGAGAAGATGATGGTGGTGATGCTAATAAAAGAATATCACTTGGGGATAAAAGAAACAATTTTCTGACCTTTGGTGATTCAAAAAAGAACAAATAAGCATTTAGCAGCTGCAAATGGTGCGTGTGTGTGTTTTTAACTAAAGAGTTGGTTGAATTTTCAACATGGATGCACCAGAGATGTTTGTTTTAATAACGTTATTTCAATAAACACTCAAATGACATCCATAGTTCAAATAAATAATTTACTAAGCACTTATTATGTATCAGATACTGTGCTAAATGCTGAGGATAAAGAAATAAATTAGTCACATATGGCTTATATTTTAGTCTAGAACAGTGGTCGGCAAACTGCGGCTCGCAAGCCACATGCGGCTCTTTGGCCCTTTGAGTTTTCAGCAAAGGCCAGTTTAGGAGTACCCTAATTAAGTTAATAACAATGTACCCAACTATATAGTTTAAGTTAAAAAAAAATTGGCTCTCAAAAGAAATTTCAATCATTGTACTGTTGATATTTGGTTCTGTTGACTAATGAGTCTGCCGACCACTGGGCTAGGAGAACAATTTGTGAACAAATAAATTCAATATAAGTTAGTGTTATGTTATGGAAAAGGTAGGCACACAGAGCTGTAAGAACACAAAGGCAATACTCCTACTGTAGTTCATTTAGGGGTTCCCAAAGACTTCCTGGAAGACATGTCTAAACTAAGTTTTATCAGATGAATAATAAATTAGTAGGGAAAAAATAAGTAGGAAAAGCATTCCAGGAAGAAAGAGCAGTGTTAGCAAAGTGGAACATGTTGAAAGAGTATATGTCATGTATTAGGAACCATTTTTTTTTTAAACATTAGAATAAGGAGAGGCAGGATTTTATAATCCTAAACTCTAAATTTCTTCCAATTATCTCTGTAATCCAAGTAGAGAATGAATAAATGATCTAATATGGGTAGCTCTAACTTAATGATTGCATTTCACATGCAATTTCTCTTTTTTACCTCAAGTTAAATTACTGAATTCAAATGTGGAATAAAAAAAAAGGAATTACGAATTTTGCCATGGCTAGGTCTCTCTGAACCTTGTACCTCTTCTCCATCAGTTAAACAGCCAAATGGATTCCTGAGAAATAATGTTAAAAATGGTGTGATTTGGGGTGAGGTTACCTTTGTTTATAAGGAACAGAAAGCCAGACTCAACAATAAGGGGCTATGTGTTTTTCACATAACAAATCTTTAGGTAGGCCAATTGTACTATTGGTATTTCAGTAAATACATGACTTCATTAAGGATACTTTCCGTTATTATGTTCAACTGTCTTTGACATGTAACACCCTTCTCGGTCACCAAATGGCTTTCACAGATTCAAATATTGTAAAGTTTCACAAAAGACTCTAAAAACCTGCAAATGAAGAAATCTCTCTCTCTCTCTCTCTCTCTCTCTCTCTCTCTCTCTCTCTCTCTCTCTCCTATTCTCCTATTTTAGGAGTATTTAAATAATGACAAAACAAAGAAGGATGTATGCAATATTATCAAATTATTTAGAAGATAATGTATTTGGACTTTCTAATTATAAGATCTCATTATCTATAGCCCTTCCAATATTTATTGTTAAGGTAAAACAATCATTCCCAGGAGCATTACCTGTTCCCCCAGTAGATATTCCCACAGATGACATTGGCCCTGATTGGGTCATATGCCCACCCATGAACCGATCGCTGGTAAGAGGATTTAGATAACAATCATATGCTTAAATCAATCTTAATTTTTTAAAATGTATTAGGATTTATTAGGATGACATAGGTAAACAGCATCTTAGGTGTCAAAAGTTGAGCTTCTTCCCCCAATTGCATTGGTCAGGAAAGAACAAAAACTTGCGCTATAGCACCACTTACTGGAAAACAAAAGAAACACCTCTACTTATCAAGCTGCTGAATTGTTCAAATGAAAATGGTACCTAAATAGGAAAGATGTTCACTATTTCAAATGCACTGGCAGAGACCAATCTATCAAGTACCATGAATAACCATAGTAACACAGTATCAAAAGGAAAATGACAATTTTCCAGGATTAAACTCAAAGACATGGAAGATTATAATCGAAATGACAGAGAATTCAAAATAGTAGTCATGAGCAAACTAAACAAGATACAATAAAACTCATAAAGACACCTCAATAAACACAGAAATAAAATTAATGAACAGAAATATTTTACCAAGAAGATCAAAACTCTAAACAAATCTAAGCAGAACTTCTAGAGCTGAAAGAACTCAAATAAAATGAGAAATTAATTGAAAAGCACTGGAAATATAGAATATCATATGAAGCAGAAAATTTGCAAGCTCAAAGACAGAAATCTAGAAATGGTTTAGGTGGGAAAAAGAGTGGACTGAGATTTTTATTTATTTATTTTTATTGATTTCAGAGAGAGATGGAAACATCAATGATGAGAGAGTATCATTGATTGGTTGCCTCCTGCATGCCTCACACTGGGGATCAAGCCCGCAACTCAGGCCTGTGCCTTGACCAGGAATTGAACCTTGACTTCCTGGTTCATAGGCTAGAGCAGCGTTTTTCAACCGCTGTTCCGCGGCACACTGATGTTGCCGGGTGTGCCGTAGGTGCAGACAAGACAAGAATTTTATAATTTTTCACTATTTTGTTTACTTAATATTTCATAATAAAGTAATTATAAAATACTTTCTTTGTGTTTATTTGATTCCTATTCAAGAGAATTACTTTATATATAGTCAATATAGGCACAGAGTTAAATTTTTTAACATTTTCTAATGGTGGTGTGCCTCGTGATTTTTTTCATGAAACAAGTGTGCCTTTGCCCAAAAAAGGTTGAAAAACACTGGGCTAGAGGACTAATACATTTAAATTAAAGAATCCATTGTTCCTTTGCTGAGTTCTCCCTTTGCAGTTGTAGGCAGGTGCCATATGAGTCTCCATCAACCTGCATAACACTGTTCAACCTGCTCTGGCAATTCCCTGACACTTCACCTCACCCAATTTGCAGGCCCACCCGAACCACTTCCAGTGTCTTTTCCATAGAAATTGCCTGTCTTGGCTCATGTGTTGGACTTTCCTCAAATCTCTCAAAGGCTCGCAAACCCCAAACAAGCAGCCTCTGGCCTGGGCATGCCTTTACCTCTTGTTAAGTAGCTCCACACCTGGCATTAGAAGCAGCCAGCCTTGGTTCACAGCTTAGCCTCTCCCAGCACCTCCAATCCCAGCACAGGTGGCCACCATCTGAACATAACTTTTCAGCTCATTTCAAGTGGCCATGAGCAAGGCAAAGGCAGTGGCTGACTTTGGTCTGCACTTCCTGAGAGGCCCAGAGCTGGCACAAGTAATTCCAAAAATTTTATGGACCCACAAAAGACTGCAAATAGCCAAAGCCATCTTTTTTAAAAAGCAAAGTTGGAGATATAACACTAGCTGATAACAAACTATGCTACAAGGCTATAGTACTCAAAGCAGTACGGTACTGGCATAAAAACAGAAATATAGAAATTATTCAGATGGAAAAAAAGAGAGGATTAGTATTTTCTTTATTTACTTTTATTGATTTTAGAGAGGAAGGGAGAGGGAGAGAAAGATATTAGGTCTAGTAATAATTAATGTCGTTTTCTAATACTTTTTTTAAATCAAATTTATTTAAACAATACAACAAAATTTAATCAACAATATAGTTGCTGTTGTTTTCTACTACTTGTGCCCAATGCTCAGGAAGCATTTTAATCCCTCTGTTGTAAAATTCTTGTGATTTTGATGCAAAAAATTCGGTCAATGCATTTTTGAGGCATTCTTCATTATTAAATTTTTTTCCAAGAAGAAAGTTTTGCAAAGAACGAAACAAATGGTAATCGGAAGGGGCAATATCAGGAGAATATGCAGGTTGAGGGAGAACTTCCCATTCCAACTGGCGCAGTTTTTCAGCAGTGATTCTTGCAGTATGCGGTCGTGCGTTACCGTGGTGAAGAATTACGCCCTTCCAATTAATCAGCGCGGGTTCTTTTTCTCTTAAAGCTTGGGCTAACCTTTCCAATTGGGCACTATACACTGCACTTGTAATGGTTTGGTTAGATGGTAAAAGTTCATAATGAAGAATTCCTTTAAAATTCCACCAAACACACAACATCACTTTTTTCGCATGCAAGTCAGGTTTTGGCGTGGGCTGCGGAACTTCATTTTTGTCCAACCATTGAGGCCGCCTTTTCGAATTAACATACAGCACCCATTCTTCATCTCCAGTAACAATTTGCTCTAAAAACGGCAAACGGTTTTGACGAGAGAGGAGCGAACTGCAAATTGTGACTCTTTGATTACGGTTGTTGTCGGTCAACTCATGAGGAACCCATTTTCCAAACTTTTGGACTTTGCCAAGTGCACGCAATTGATTGGAAATTGTTTTTTGTGAACAATTTAAAGTTGTCGCAAGCTCTTGTTGGGTAATTTGAGGATTTTGCACCAAAAGAGCTTGAAGAGCTTCTTGATCAAAATTGGACACACGGCCTCGACCACTCTTGTCATCTAATGAAAAATTTCCCTCGTGAAATTTCTCGAACCAACGCTGGCATTTTCTGGCGCTAACTGCATCTTGACCAAGAGCACTACAGATGTTTTTTGCAGCCTCACTTGCTTTTCTTCCTAATTGGAACTCGTAAAGCATGCAGTGCCTAATATGCTCTTCATCCGCCATCTTCTTAGCCCTAGTTTTGCAACAAAAACCAAACCAAACACAAACTTTTTCAAGCAAAACTTGTTCATTGCACTTCACACGTTCTGTAGATACCACGTGTTTGAAGGTTATGTCAATACAAGTCAACGCCAAGCAAGATTTTAAACGAATGTTTAA